GGTTGATACTACTAGGAAGATATATTTCTATGAGTTACAATTAACATTTAGTTTTTCTGTTTTTTTTATTATTAGCAATAAATGTTATGTTAGTATCTTGCGCACATTTGCGATTCTCTTTCATCGGCTCTTTATGTTAGTAACACGTAAACCTTAGGATTCTCTAGGAGTCTCGTACCCAGAACTTCCGTTCTGGGTACGCGGAGGTGGTAACATTTCAGTTGCACAGTATGATCAGGGTATGATGTGAGGATTTTCTTTAACTGGATTATCACGTTAATATCTCGCGAAGTTAGGGATTCTCTTTTATTGAATTGTTGTGTTAGTATCTCGTACATCCTAAGGATAATCCTTCATTTGAAAGTGACGCAATGCTCACGCACATTTTAGGATTGAGTTACATTCCATTGTTACTTCAGCATCTCATGCACTTTTGTGATTCTCTTTTATTGGAAAGTTATGTCATTAAACGCGCATTTTAGGACTGTCGTTCACAAAATTGTTACGTTAGTACCACGCACATTTTATGTTCACTGGATTGTTACGTTAGTGTCATTCGATTGTTCCCAGTATGTATCTCGTGCACTTTTTGGGATTCTCTTTAATTTGATTGTTACTTTGCGGTTACTCAGGCTATGGTTTTACGACACTGAGTCAAAACCACTCCACCCTCGGGGTAAATGAGCTTAAGAATTTTTTCTATTAACACAAGAATCATGAGACTGCGAATGAGATAGCCAATTATAAAAAAGAGATTTACGGTAATTGAAGTTGCGTAAAGTTCGTTAGGCAACTTTAATCAGTTTTATAATGCTCGTTAAGGCGCGTTAAGGTAGATTAACGTCATTGGACGTAGAGCTTACGACAAGGTAACTTAAAGCTGAAGAGCCAGATTTATGTTCAATTTAAAGTTTGCGTGTATCTCTAGTTTGATAGTACAATTGCTTGTGTACAACGTTTGTGTTCTTTCTCTGCATAATTGCCTTGAAAACTCGGTAGAGACTCGCATCTCTCAGAAACATGCTTTGGTCAGAGGAGAAAAAGGCCATGGTGGGGCTGGCTGTAGGATGCTTAGCCTATACTAGCTCGGGTGAATCACTTTTCTGAGGATGAAAATGGAGAAAGGCACCTTAACGGGTATCTTGATGATGTTTACATCAGGAGCCTTCATCCAAGAGTAAATCTGATGACAAGATACGCCCATGAAAGGCCATCAACACGATGCTGGCCCGTTAAAGGCCTGCCATGGGCAGTCACCTGGAGAGGCAGTTGTTACTCCCATCACTCTGCTTCTGGCAACCACAGCTCGTCTGGAAAATCACTACGAAAATCACCTTTTCATAGTTTTGCTCTCGATGACCGCCTATGTATTCAAGAACAGTTATAAATGTAGTTGAGTTTCTCAGGCAGTTGTATTGCTTCATCACAGGTTTGCCTACATATATTTTGTCGGAACAAAGTGTTCAATTTTCTGTAACACTAATTTCTGTAGTGATTTTCAATTTCCAATGATAATGTTAATGCAGTTTTTAAGTGATACTGGAACAATGTTATAGAGATAACTTCTTGATTACGCTTTCTTTAGGTAGAAATATTAGAACAAGGTTTTAGTTTTTTTTCTGTTAACAACATTTCAATTAGGATTAGAGCAAAATTTTCAATTGTACATGTACACACATCTTCACTGCTGATGTCAGAACAAAGTTTCAATTTTCAATGTTTCAGTTATCTTATTGTTTTCAATTGGTTCCAAGTTGTCATATTTCAAATTATATAAATACAATGTTTTCAAATTTTTTAACTTATTTCCCTCTCATTTATTGTATAAATTGATATTATTAGAACAAGGTTTTCATTTTCTGTAGTTTTCTTTCAAGTACAACAAAGATTACAAATAATATCTTAAATGTTATCCTTAAGAAATGATCAAATGTTAAATTACTTACATGCATGCATGAGAGCATGTTTTTATGGCAAATGTGCAAAATTGTGAACACAGCAGTTAGACTGTTTGATGGATTGACAAACAACTTTTTAATCACACTTTAAAAGTGAGCAACCGGGTAATCAGCTTTGCTTTTATGTTTTCCTTAAGTCGTATAAAGTAAAGCTGAATGTTTAGTTTCTGTACCTTAGGATTTGAGTTTTCACGATATGTGAGCAGTTTATACAGCTCCCTTACACTCAAGAATAAAGTTGACTTTACGGCAAGCGTAAAGTTGGCTTAAAGACGCTTATACTCTATATTTACGCTTATAGGTAAAGCTAGCGTAAATCTCTACTTTACACTCGCTTTACGCATCTTATGGAAGTCTCATTACTCTAGTTTTACGTCAAAGTGTAAAAACTACGTAAAGCTTGCCTTTACATAATGCAAATGTGGCGTAAAGCTGCGTGAAGCAGAACTTTGTGGCAGCTTTACGTTAACATTACGCCAACTTAAACTCCTACTGCATCTGAAAAATTAATACTAACGACACGTACCACTTTCCTTCAAATGTTTTTAAATGATAATCACCGCATTTTTGGCCGACTCTCCAATGCAAGTTCTCGATATGTTCTGTACACATCCCGCAGCAGGTGCCTCGTCATATTAATAAAATTCATCCGTATATTCTCCAGAAGTAACTTTGAAAATTCCAAGGTAAGCTTAGTTCTGTAACAAGGAGCCCTCGTACCTAAGCGGCCGACCGTCATGATAAACCCATGAATTTTAATTCCAGAATTGACCAATTCTAGAATAATCCTTTGAGATCAGAGTTCCCTTTTGTCGTTCATTTATCTACATTTTGAAAACTAGCTTCCAGCAAACGGGGTGACTGATTACATGCATATGAAAACTTAATATGCATGTAAAATTAGCTATGTGGAAGTCATGTAAACAGTATTTGCAAGGCATGTGAAAATTTATCCACTGCGCCCATTCATTTTCAACAATTCATTTGTTTCTTGAGTTCTTGAAGCTTAAAAAGTTAAAAACTTGGATTCAGGCTCGAATTTCAAAGGCCCGTTGGCGATGAGCGACTGAAGACGAACCAGCTCGAATTTCACACGAAGACCT